GGTCGGGTTGGGGGGGTTGGAGGGAGGGGTGGGGAGGGAGATGGATACCCGTGCGGCCAAGAAGTCTGTCCGCCAAGGCTAAAATCGCCCAAAATTACTCCCAAAGTTGCAGGACTCTCCGGTACTGAAAAGGCACTCCAGCGCACCGTTGCGTCTCCAAGATTTTCGCCTTGGCGGACAGACTTCATGGGGCACGAGTAGGGAGGGATGGGAATTGGAAAAGAGGTAAATCCGTAGAGAGTTTATCCTGCTGTGACTTATCTGATTAGGGGAAAGAGATTACGAAAGCTTACCTTTGGGACATGGATTACACATGGATGGAGATAGAAATCACATATAACATCATTCCATTATACAGCTTCGTATGTAGGGAAAAAAAGAGAGAGAAATTAAGTAAATTACATGTCCCAAAGGTTAGCTTTATGGACTGAGATAGAAATTATATATAACATCATATGTTCCTCTATCTCTTACAGCAGAGTGTGATAAGAGGGGTGGATGAAAGAATCGTGGGTTTCTTTGTTTGTGGTTATGATGGAAGAGTTCTTCGCTTTTGGCTTGGCTTGGCTTGGCTTGGGATTCGCTTAGGTCACCTAAACAAGCGTCCAAGCGAATGCTTGTTCAGCAGCTTTAGCGAGTTACGTCGCAAGACGGGATTCGCCCTGAAATTCGCATGAAGGGAACAGGTTAGCAAGGGTTAACGTGCAAATATTAGAGGGGTGAGATAGCAGTGGAACGTTGGGATGTAACATCTGCAGCAAATCCAGGACTCACAACAGCGGCCCTCGCGGATTCAGGAGCTGGAATTGCTTCAGGGCATCCGCGACCCGGTCGACGACCTGAGTCGGCGCGTACGGAAAGTCGGAGCCGAAGCCGACTTGCGCTGCTCCGGCGAAATCCAGCATGCCGTCGAGCTGCGCCGTGCTGGTGCTGAGCGCCGTGTCGTAGTAGAAGCGGCCGAACTGCCTCTGCGCCTCGGCGATGTCGATGGGCACGAGATCCGCGACCGAGGGCGCGAGGAGGGATGCGATAGCACGGGTTCCCGCGTAGGGGAGCGCGCCGCCAGCGTGGGCGAGAATCACGTCGACGTCGGGCGCTGCGGACAGAGTCCCGGTCATGACGAGGTCCGTCGCGGTGCGGGTGGTGGTCCCTAGCATTGGAAGCACGAGTGTCAGCAGTTGCTACTCGCGATCCATCGATCGGCCAAGGCTTGCGGTAGGTGTTAAGATTCTCCCATTACTCACAGAGGAAGTCGATCACGTATTGGGGCAGGCCTGGGCCGATAAGTTGCGGTACGACATCTAACCCAGCGGGGTGGATGAAGATCAGGGCCTTGTACTTCTGCAGCCGAGCCCAGATGGGTGCGTACGCGGGATCGCCGAGGAGCTTCCCGCCATACGTTGTGAAGATGGCGACGCCGTTGCACAGCTTCTGCTCGGTGTAGAGGTAATCGAGCTCGGCGAGCGTGCCCTCGACGTCCTGCCAGTCTGGGAGGGTCCCGAAGAAGCCGAGCTTGGCCGCGGTCGAGTTCTTATCGGACAGATAGGATGCCATCTCGACATTTAAGCTGCGCGCCAGACTTCTCGCCTCGTCGCCCACGCCCACGACCGAGACTCCAGGTGCGGAAATCGACAGGATGCCTGCGGTGGTCGCTCGCGTCAGTCCATCACGACTCTCACTCATGGGGTGGATGTTCTGTTCTCTACATACCTATCGAGGCCCCGGTCTCTTGCAAGAAGCTCTTAGTGGCCGATAGAGACCATGTTGGGATATCGGTTAGGCCTGCGGCGACCAGCACCTTGGAATAAGATAAGGGTATCGCGTGAATGTGCGTGTCCACCCTCCCAGTACCACCTGAATTGGAGGCTTTCAAGAAGGGAACACCGGCAACGAGATGCACCACTGCGCACATCAGGAAGGAGAGTTGTTGAAGTTTGGCCATGATGGGGTGGCTGGTCGTGATACTGATACTGCTGCCGATATACTCCTTTCCCAAATCTGCAGAAAATGGCGGAGGTGGCCCCCTTCTTGAGCTTGAGATCTTCCCGGGAACATTGATGCGGTAATAGACGCTCAGTGCCGTCGTATACGTCGGTCGCGCAGACTCCGGATCATGTTCCTTTCTTGGGACTCTTCTGCCGCTTTGCTGCGCCTACCTTGCTCGGATATATCGCGCCTGTTGCCCTTGATCGACCAGTTAATTTGGAGTCGTGGTTTTCGTGCGGCGTCTGGAATTACGGAGATTTGCTATGGCCAAAAATCGGTTAATCTAGAATCATCTTATCAAGTGGGTTGTTGTTGAGCTTGCAGTCTAATATTGATTGAGATGCTCCATCCAATCCCCGTCTCCGGACCCATAGTAGTGACTTCTTGGTCGCAACTGATGATGGTGTAATATAAAATCGATTTGGAAGCATGCTAGGCTCAGTTGGTAGTCGGTGGTCGGTGGTCAGTGGTAAGTGGAAGATATCTCGCGAGACGAATCGAAACATTTCATTTCGAAGAGAATACGGGATGCAAGGGGCATCACGTGATGCGTGCGGTAGTCTATCTATCGGACGGCTGCATGAGAATCACCCGAACCGCGACGATCACGACCCGGATATATCATGACGGGTTGAAGTCCCTAATCCCTCGACATGCAGCCAATATTACTTCTCAACATTACCTTGATTATTGCTTCTCCTAATAAGGGTCTTCCCGTCCGTTCCGCTTTGTCATCGGTATCCAACTGGAATTTTCGTTTGTTGTTTTTCAACGTCGGCCGGCCGTCGCGTCTGCAGCGGTCACCTGTGCAACAATCGAAAACACCTATACTACACTCTTACAACTCCATCGGTTACTCTCTATGAAAATTGCTAGTCCAACCGTCTCGTTGCGCAAGGACCTTAACAGCATTATTCGTTCGGCACGCGGGTACCACGATGGGCAGGGGGGGGAGGAAGAGGGCTTGCGATACGTGCCATGCGCGAAAGATCCATTGCGACGGAGCGCTGCCCAACTGTGACGTAAGATATTTAGTTTTTTATTTACGGAGAGGAGTCGGTCGGTCGGTCGGTCGGTCGGTCCGTCGGTCGGTCAGTCAATCGGTCGGTCAATCAGTCAGTCAGTCAGTCAGTCAATCAATCAGTCAGTCAGTCAGTCAGTCAGTCAGTCAGTCAGTCAGTCAGTCAGTCAGTCAGTCAGTCAGTCAGTCAGTTATGGGATCGGATCAGAGCATCTGGCATCTGGGCATCTGGCGTCTGGCGTCTGACATCTGGCATCGGGCATCGGGCATCTGGGACCTCCACATCCTTGAAAAAAGCATTTTCTAAACGCGAACGCCAACGCGCTTTAAGGCTGTTCCGGCAAAAAGGACAGTAGCAATTGCAATAGTAAATAGTACTGACTTCCGCCTTCATCCATCTAGTGGTGCAGTCACCAAGGCCTCGCTTGCACCTTTGAGCGTGGCGTCGGCAAAAGGGCAGCCGAGAGAGAGCGGCCGAAAAACAACAATCGGTGAGTTGGAATGGGAGTTTCCCGAGTAAACGAATGAATGAGTGGAGGAATGAATGAACGAATGAACGAATGATTGAATGAATGAATGAATGTACCGCGTGTAAACTTCTGGAACTCTCTGTCTATCTTAGTGCTCTACGTCTATCATAGTGCGCTTACTAGACTAGACGGTTGGAGAGTCGTGGATCATCTCCCCCTGTCAATCTGTCCGGAAAGAATAACGTCCTGTAACCGCTTCCGCTGCTCTGGTACTGACGATCTATAGGGTCTCAAAAGCATCCGCCACTCGGAAATCATCTGCGTCAGGGTGGGCAGTGGCGGATGAGACGGTGCCATTGCCATGGCCAACGTCGCCTCGCGCTTCCACGCAGCCGTCGTTCGATGTATCCGGGCCCGCATACTTAGGACCAAGTCCACTTCAACTTCCACTTCCACTTCCTCTTCCACCGCCAGGAAGTGTATGTTACCCGCTCCCTTCACCACCAAGCTCTTGTTTCCAGGAGCATCACCGGTCACCAGTCACTCTTTCGCCAGCAGAGAGCAGCCGGGGATGGGCCTGGGCCGAAAGTCCTCTTCTCGCGACAGACAGTCGTGATTGGATTCGGAGATGGGCTGGGGAAAGCGCCATACTGGACTTGCTCTCTCCTATCCCATCAGGGGGACCACCATGGCAGATAGACCCGCCGCCGCGCCATCCACGGTTGACAACTAGTGAAAACCTCACCGAGCTCCCCGAGAAGAAAATAGCAGAGCTATACCTGCAGCTATTCCGCTCGACTCCGTTCCGTCTGGTCTTCCCAATCGTCGACACGGTCCTCTTCCAAGATACGATCAACTCCGCCTACACACGAGACGGCAACTCAGCCATCTCCAGTGCGTGCGTCTTTGCATTTCTATCCATCATGTCCCATATGCCTTGGGGACCTAGATCAAGCGGTGTCTTCGACGGTGACGCTTGTGCGAGGCAAGCAGATTCACTGATGGGCTTGACTAGCCTAGAAACCAGCATCGTCGAACTTCAATTCTATGTTATGCAATGCATGCAGAAACTCTTTTCTGGGAATCTGAAAGCGGCGACCATGTGCCACGCCGTTGCGTGCCGTCTCCTGTTCATGCTGGGCGGGCACCTCTATCCACAGGAACCACAACCGCCCACCAGAAGGCTTAGCGGGACCGACCTGGGTCGGCGAACCCGAGAGCATCTGCGGAAGCTGTTCTGGCTCTGTTACACCTTCGACAAGATCATTGCGTTACGCACCGGGGAGCCGCCCTGTATCGACGACGAGCAGTGTGATCTCACCCTGCCACCTGGCTACGCAGATCTGCTCTACGAAGAAGGCGACTTTGATGCGGCGCTCGTGACTGCCATCACTCTATTTCCAGGGGACCTCAGATTGAGCATCATCAAATCGCGTACCTGCAAGCTGTTATTCAACCAAGTACAGAAGCTTTCCAACTCGGAGCTCCTGCGGATCGTCCGAGAGCTTGATGGCGATCTCGAGGAGTGGCGACTCTCGATACCCCTTAGCTACCGGCCCACACTATCCTCTAGTGATGATGGCCATGGATTCACGCCCGATATGGATTCTACCCAGAAGATGCACATTATTATGATTCATTTAGAATACCAGTGAGTTCTCCTTATCGCTCTGTGGGCTATTATCCAAGGGTCTCGTTACATCGTAAAACCATGGCTCTCCTCTTCTCTCCAACCCGATATCATCTTTGATACAAGTCGATTGCTAATCATATACCTGCTCAAGTCATCTCATGGCGACTATCCACGGTATCACCAGTCGATCCTTCGCTTGGAGCGCCGGTGATGGTGTCAATCTGGTAAATCCAGGCCTTGGCATCAGCTCCAGTCAGGCATTATCTGTCGAAGCGAGCCGAGCCAGCTTGGAATACCTCCGCGTCGCATCCCATGCACTTTTAAGCACAACATTCTGGTGAGACAACCCATGGAATCGATGCTTTAAACCTTCATTCAACGCTCAACCCTTCTTCTTTCAACCCTCAACCCCTCTTCCAACCCTCAACACCCCTCCCATGCCCTCCTCCCTCTCCCTTCCCCTTCTCTCAGCTCCCACCTATCTCCCCCCCTCTTTCCTCCTCCTCCTCCTCCACCACCACCACCACCACCAGCATCCTCGCTAACCACCCACCTTCCCCCCTACAGGATCGTCGTCTTCTACCCTCTCAAAGCCATCCTGACCATCATGGGCAACATCCTCCTAGACCCCCTCCAGCCCGCCGCCGAGCGCGACATGCTACTCTTGGATTCCACCGCCCGCCTGATCCAGCAGATCCGCGCCCAGCGCTCCATCCCCATCGACAATCAAGACATCGCCCGCATGGACAGCTTCGTCTCTGAGGTCATCCGCTCGGGGAAGTCGACTGTCGCGACTGCTGCTGCTGCGAGGAAACGGCGCGAGCGTCAGGCGCAGCCGCAGCCGCAGCAGCAGCAGCAGCAGGGTGGTGGTGGAATCATTGACGACGCGGCGGCGATGGTAGGTGGATCACCTTGAGCCATGGGCCGGCTGCGGTTTCGTCCCCGATCTTTCGGGGGTAATGATGTGGGAGTATGTGGTCTGGGAGTTCGGAGCGGAGATGTTCCAGTTAATTTTTTTTTTTTTTTTTTTTTTATGTTTACGATTGAAAGTGATACAACGGTACATGAACGAGAGAAAGAGCGCTGGCACGCAATCATCACATCCCATCCCATCACATACACACGACTCTTTTCGAACATATTCACTACCATGCCATGCAGGCTCTGAAATCTTTTTCTGTTATCATCTTTTGTTGTCTTCATTATATAGATTTTTATTTTCAGTATCGAATTGGTAAAATTAGTAGTTGTGGTTTTCGAACCCTTCTTATCATGATCACTATCATTCTTATTGTTTCCATTGTGATTATTACTATTGGATGATGATATTGGTAGTTGTGGTTGTATGAAGAGGAAGAGGAAGAGGAGGGGGAGGGGGAGGAGGATGAGGGAAAAGTAAGTGAGTGAGTGATTGGTGGGATTGTACGGCGTAGCTGAGACAAAGGTCTATGTGAGGAGGTTTAAGTTTGGTTGGAAAGGAGGGGAGAAGGCCTTACCCGAATGGAAAAGGAGATACCTAGGGGAGTACCGTAGGTAGGTAGGTATTCGGGAATGGGAATGTAATGCGGGCATTGATGCGGGCAGTGTAGTGCGAGCCGTGAATGTGAGACGTGCGGACGTACCGTACCGTACGTACGGGGCCGGGACTGCTGCATATTTCCACACTACGGTAGACGAGAGGGTGGTAAAAGAAAAGGAGAGGAGGGAAGAGGGGGGAATGAACGTACAGAGGTTAATTGCTGTCTGGCTTGGCTTTTTTGTATGTGTTTACTAGGTATTTATGAGTAGGTAGGGAGGGGAATTAGCTTTGCTTTGCTTTGCTTTTTTTTGCTTCGCTTCGCTTCCCTCCGTATGGTGCGTTTTGGTCGACCGTTTATTCGACCGCGGGCTCGGCTCGGCTCGGCTCGACAATGTGGACAGACCTACCTATCGACAGCCCACCGGACCTTTCACTTTTGATGTGATACCCGACCCTATACTTACGAAGTGCCCAAAGTCTGAGCCCCGGGAAGAGAAGGGTAGGTAGTCCGTCATCTGGGCGGTAAAGTCCTCCATCTACCGTACCATCTCAGCGCTCCTGTCCGCTCCTGTTGGCAATTGGTTGCTTCGCCCTGTCAAACCAAACCCCTGACCCTCTTTTTCCGTGGTTCAGACCTCTGGAAACATCGAGTAGGTAGGTAGGTACTCCCCTTACTTAGCACGAGAAGAAATCCGAAAACTTCTTTCTTTTTCTCAATAGCGCGTATCAGATCAAAAATCTCCCCTCCCGCTACGGGATATTATCGAATCTACTATCTCTATCACTATCACTATCACTATCAACCTCGGCTACGCTCCTCTGCTCTGCTCTGCTCAGCTCAGCTCAGATAATCCTCCGTACATGAGTTGGTCAACGTTCCATGCTCGATACTTTCGCACTCTTGTTAGAAAAACAACGATGAGCGGCGCTGGGTAGGTGTCAATTGCGCAGACGAGGCCATATACGGCGATGTGGCTTCCAATTCCAATTCCAATTCCGATTCCACTTCCAGCTATCCATATCCATCTGGCGAATTTATCCATTTATCCATCAATCTTTCTCTTCCCCCCTCTCTCTCTGTATAACATAAGCGTAGCGACATATCTCCCGCTCATGCGCCCTTCCTTTTAACCGATCCAATTCCACCATCCATCCATCCGTTCATCCGTCCATCCCATCAGCTAATTAATCGAATACGAGTCGTCACGTATGCTATCACCATCACCATCATTATTTCAAGTTTTCGCAAAAAGGATTAATAGATAAATCATAGCCAGCCAGAACAGCTACCTACCTACCTAATTATCTACAGATATCATCAGGCTCAAACACCACACAACACACAATCCTCAGACCCGAAACAATGCCACCAAGAACCCACAAACAACGAGGTAGAGATAGGAAATCGTAAACGAGCGTGGATAATAGATTGCAGAAACGAGAGAGCGTATCAATTCATCTATCTAACTATCTAACTAGCCAAGTAACTAGCTACCCTGAGGCCTGAGGCAGGATGTACTACTGAACGTCGTCAAACTGTGCAACCCGCACCTGTAGGTTGAGTCCACACCGAAACCCCATGAGAAAAAAAAACAAAAAAAACAATAATAGTTCTGGGAGGTCATTTCGCTTTGTTTGAAGAGAAAGGTACCGTGCACCCGAGCTGAATATAAAGAAGATGATAGTAGTGATCCTCCGTAAGAAGGAAGACGGAGAGGAGAGGAAACGGAGAGCACGCATCCGCATGAGACAGCCAGTCTAGAATAGAAAAGAAAAGAAGAAAAAAAGACTTCATGCGCAAGCCTCATCGACAGCCTCCCGGATATGCCCTCCGGTGGCCAACGCCGTCGGCATAGCCACCATGCTGAAGTGGTCGGCATCGACAACCCACGTCTTGAGCTCTTGTCCGACGAGCTTCTCCCAGCCGTTCGACCCAAAGGAGGTCCGTTTCGCGTAGAACCAGCCCATCATGCCCGCGCCGGCGTTCTGCATCGCGTTCCCGTCGCCCTCCCCGCCGCCAAAGAACCACTGCTTGGTTTTCTCGTCCACCTGGACCGCCTCGTCCGCCGGCTTGTCGTCCATAACTTCGGAGAGGCCCAGCCGGGCCCAGATCATGAACGTCTTGTTGGGCCGTCGGTCCGAGGTCATGGGGCGCGGGTTGTACTTGACCAGGGCGCGGCAGACGCTGAGGAGGTGCTGCTTGAGACGGAGAGGCATCGGGCCCATGATGGCGGTGCCGCCTTGGCTGCGGTTGATGCCGGCCGTCATCCCGCTCGCCTCCAGAAGCTCCATGCTGATTTCGGGCTGGTGGGGGAGGGGAGCGGGTACTCGCATATCGAGCATGATGAGTCCGAGAATGGTCTCGCCGGCGTCGAGAAGACGGCCACTGACCTCGTACGCGAACACGGCACCGGCTGACCAACCACCTAATAGATAGGGGCCCTGCGGCTGGACGTTTCGCAAGGCTGCGAGGTACAGGGTGCTCACTTCTTCGACGCTGCATTGAAAGGCTGCAGGGTCCTGAAGGAATGGTGATTCCAAGGCGTAAACGGGGCGACCCTTGGGTAAACTAGGCAAATGGACTTCAGGGCAATTAGCTTTGACTTGATCCGAGGAGAAAATCGGATTAAGGGCGATGTATACTTACGATATGCCGCTGCACTCCCAGCGCCATCGGTGATCAGAAACAACGGAGTCTCTGTGGAACGTTTCCTCCCATGGATCAAGACTGCTCTGCTGTGATAGAGTGTAGCCAGATCGGGCTTGGGGCTGGTCTTCTTCTCTGCAATGACGATGTCCTTGGTGTCGAATGTGACATGGTTTATATCACTCGGCGAATGCGCATTCAACGACGATGGCGTCTCGCATCTATCTGCCCCTTCTTCCGACGAAGAGAACACGTCATTCTCCCACGACCCTTCCGTACCATCTTCGGTCTCTACCTGTCCAAGGGCTTTCCGGACTTCGGCGACGGAATGGTGCTCCTGAAAGAAGGCACTTGGAATCGTTATGTCGTAATCCTTCAAAAGCACATCGCTTATGGTGATGGACATTAACGAGTCAACCCCCAGGTCTGCGAAAACGGTAGAGTCGTCGATCTCGGAGCGGTCGACACCTGTTTCTTTGGCGATCGTGCTGAGAATTGCTTCCAGTCTAAGTTACGAGAGAGTCAGCAATTTTTCGCATCAGGACGAGGAAGAGATGACTTTCTAGAAGACTTCGAGATATCGCAAAGAAAGGAAAAAAAAAAAAAAAAGATGGACTCCCCAATACTTACTCATCTGCTGCACTCGTAACGGGCTCCTCAATTGATGGCTCGATCACGACTTTCTTGATCGGGGCTGCGGGCTCTGGTGTTTTTGCAGGCTTTGCCACTGGCCGGGGCGCGGCGGGACCAGCGGAGGACCTAATCAAAGCGGCAAATGCGGACCGCTCGAGTCGATGGAAGGCAATACCGCTTACCACCCCGACAGTTGTCTCGCCATCGAATATGTAAGCGTCGCCGATGATGTTATCTTCTCCAGGCTCGGGGGTGTTGAAACAAATGTAGTTCGTATACGACTTTCCAGAGCTTAGTCGATCGCGCATCAGGTTCAAGCTCTCAAAACCAGTCGACACCCACAGCACGTTCTCAGGCTTGTCTGGATTGCAGTTGACTTGAAAGCCGGCGAGATGCACAAGTGCGTCAAGCCAGTACGGACTGAACATGAAGTTGCTGTTCTCGGAGTCTGCGTCCAATGTGATCCGAGAAACACCTTGGCTAAAATCGTTGGAGACAGTGACCTCGCTCATTGCTTGGTAGCGCGAATTGTATCGCACCAGCTGGGAAAAGAGCTTGTAGACGATGGACTTGGAAAGGCTGTGGTTGTCTCTGGCGTTCAGAAGACCCTGTTTAGCAAGCTTCACGAGAGAGCTGCTCTTGCGCCAGGTTGATGTCCAGGTTTGGGGGTCTGCGATCTGAACGGTGCACTTCCCATGCTCCAGCTTCCTTGAAGTCCCTAACTGTGAAGAGAAAGTCACAGTGACGGAGTCCTTGGAAGTGCTCATCTGGGTGGCTGTGACGAGGACTTTCTGGTCGTCACTGCCAGACAGCACCAGTGGGCCGGTGATATCAAGATGCTCGACCGAGAAGGTTGGAGCCTTTGATCCCGGATTCGTATGTTGCACGACGTACCGAGCGGCACTCAGGGCCATGTCAAGGAACACACTGGTAGGACAGATAGGGTTGCCGTCTACGATATGCCCCGCCATTGCGGCCGACAAGCTTGGCTCCAAGATTGACGATGAAAAATTGAAAGTCGATTTTTTATCGGAGACGACTTCATCCTGAAGACTCTGGATAGAGCTATTCAATAAGCTGCGGATCCCCTTCTCCTGAACAGCAGGCTTGGCACCTTGAGAGCCGAGCGTGGCGCCATGGTCCTTGAAAGGCGTCCAGAAATCTCTGAGCTCAAAGGCATAAGCGGGTAGATCCAGCAACTTCAGGTGGGCTATGTGCTCCTGGTGGAAGCGTGTCCAGTCGACAGTCTGTTGCTTGGTATGTAAAAAGGCGAGAGTAGACGAGAGAACCTTCCAATCATCTTGCCCGGATTGCAAGGATGGAAGAAGTCTAGACTGAGGCACATCCAGCGTGGACTTGACGAGTCCCAAACAGACAGGATGGGGGCCACACTCAATCCAGACAGTGCTATCACCATCAAGAGAGCGAAGCGTACCCAAAGCTCCAACAAAGTTGACGGGTTCACGCGCTTGAAGGCCAAGATACTTGGAATCGAAGGTTCCTTCCTCAGTGACCAGCAGGCCTCGCAAGGTAGACGCAACGGGAATGGCCGGCTTAGAGAATCGGACCTGTGTGGCACGTGACACAAAGGTGGAAAGGATTGGATCGACCTGCTGACTGTGGAATGCATAAGGCGTATCGAGCTGCGTGGCTGTTACTCCTAGACCTTTCAGACTGGACTTGAGAGCTTCGATCTGGCCGATTGGTCCACTGACGACAGTGGACGACGGTGTGTTGATACAAGCTACCTCGCATGAAGCAAAGTCTTTGAGCTTCAGCACGCTGTCATCCTTGGACATGCCAACAGCTAGCATAGCATGCGTGTTCCGTTGCGCACTCTCTTGAAGCAGATGTGCTCTTGTACCGACAAGATAGAGCGTATCGTCAACTGAAAGTACACCGGCTGCGCACAGGGCAGCGAATTCGCCCAGGCTGTGCCCAATGACATGAGTAGGCTTGATCCCGTACTCCTGCCACAATGAGGCAAGGGCAAGCTCCACCGCTACGGTTGCAAGTTGAGTCTGAGCTGCGGTAGGGACAAAGCCGCTGGGAATGTCGCCGCTCACAAGCCCGATGAATGAGTCAAAGCCGTAACCCTCGCACAGGCGTTGATATGACTGAATTGACAGCTTGAAGCTCCGAGACGACTTGTATAGATCGCTGCCCATGGTACGGCATTTGTGGCCCTGGCCAGTGAACGCAAAGACAACATTGGATTTTGTCTTTGACTTTGACTCTGGAATGTACGAGACATCGCCCTCCTGTGATAAGCTTTCTATGAGTTTTGCGACCGAGGCGACAGTGTATGCATTGCGGTACGGGTGATGCATACGACGAGCAGTGGTGGTGTAGGCCAGATCCGCCAGAGAAGTCGCGGGTTTTCGGCGAAGGTACTCTAGCAGTGCCTTCTTGTTGGCCGTGTACGAGCCAGCAGTGTGACCGGAAATGGCCACAACATGGTGTTTTCGTGGATCCTGGCTTTGGCCGCTGCCAATAACAGACGCCTCTGCATATTCTTCGAGGATCAAGCTCACATTGCCGCCCTTTCGCGACATTAGCCAACGATCAAATTTTGTGGTTCTGGGATCAACTCACAGCAGCATCGAAGTTGTTAAGCAGGATCTTTCGTTTTCCGCCATTTTTAGGTGCCCGGAAGGCCTGGTGTTGTTCGGCAATACAAATACCAGCCATGCCTTGGAGTGACAGGTAATTTCGGTTGAAAACGAACTGTCCGGCTGCAGGAATCGGCTGCCCCGGGATCTTGCGCTCTCTCAGGATCATGATAGATTTTATCAGGGAGGCCAAGCCAGCTGAGGCCTCACCGTGGCCGATGTTCGCTTTGACGGCTCCCACATACAAAGGATTGTCAGGTTTCCTGTTCTTACCAAAGACGGCAGCAACACCTGACATTTCTGCCATGTCACCAGCCTGGGTAGCGGTACCACTAGTGCTTTCTTAGCATGTTTCCACGATATTGATAACGTGTCGACAGAGAAGAGAGAACCAGGCTCGAAGCGAGGTTCTGGGCGGGCCAAGAGGATGTAGGGGAGGCATTCGACTTACTGCATTTCCACGAACCCGATATCTTCGGTCTTTACGTTGAGTTGGCTCAATAATGTGTTATAGAGAGACTGCTGCGCATTTGTACTAGGATGCGTGACTTCGGACTGATCAGCCATACTTTCTTCACAACGTAATGCACGGAGGCTTTCCATACACCATGGGGATATCGAGGAGAAACTGTGAGGGTTTGTACTTACTGGAGATGGAATCTGCGGACGAGTTGCGGACTGCACCTCGGATGACAGCGAGAACGTTGTCGTTGTCAGCCAGAGCGTCTTCCAATCTCTTCATCACCACAACGCCAAGGCCTTCACCTCGACAATATCCATCCGCACTGTCCTGGAAGGTCTTGCAAGATCCAGTTGTCGAGAGAAAAGAGCCTCTGCTCAGACCTGCATAAACTAGTTATACGGGAATTGTATTAGTCTCGGCTAATAATTATAATGCAGGGGTTCAAATGTTGGAGCCTTGGCGGACGGTGCGAGCTTCGTCTTGACCACCACCCCAAAAGCCATCAACAGAAGAAAGAATTTTCTCGAAGGAGATCCTAGTTCCTTACCTGCAGGATTTGAAAGGATCGAACCGCCTCCAGCAATCGCCATGTCGCACTTGTTGCTGAGTAGATTCATCATTCCTAGGACTACCGCAGACAGACTCGAAGCGCAGGCACTGTCCACGCTGTAATTTGGACCGCCGAATCCGAAATGGTAATGAAGCCGACCAGGTACAAATGCTCGTTGAAGCGCGGGTACGAAATAAACATCAACGCCTTCGTTGATATTGGTGTCCCGATAATCGTCACAAGCTTGACCGAAGAAGGTAGCAATTCGACTGGTCTGCGTAGACATCGTCCTGTTCGGGCTATAACCTGCCATTTCGAGAGCTTCGTAGGCACACATGAGGGACAGTCTCTGGAGGGGATCCATCTGCAGCGCCTCCCGAGGTGAGACCTTGAACATTCGATGATCAAAGAGTCCGGGGTTCTCCAAGAAGTTGCCATATGGCACAGAACTTGCGTTCTTCACTTTGCCGTCTGCATCAAAATGCGCATCAATATCGAATCTTGAGGATGGAATCTGGCAACCAACATCAGCATTCGGTCGGGTAGCGTGGAAAGGGGGGCCTGCTCACTTTGCTGTGGAACTCTTTCTGGTCAAGAAGAGATTGCCAGAACTCGGCAATGCTTTCCGAACCAGGGAATCTGCCGCTCATGCCAACAATGGCGATGTGCTCGGGGTTGGGACCATTGGGAACAGAAGGGGCAGGTTGGTCCGCCGGGCATGGTGGCAGTTGCACCAATTCGACGGTCCTTCCCGCTCGTTTCAAAGCACGTTGTACCATACCTGTGTGTCCTAGGGGCCCGATAGAAATCAACCGGACAGCCTTTTCGCTTCTGGGCAGCTGTTCTAAGACTCCTTGGACTGTGCCACTTAGTCGCAACTGGCGTTGCATGGTATCGTCAAGAGCACCCTTGAACAGCTGCCGCAGAGTCTTTGCATAGTATGGAAGACAGGTACTCGTAGACATGAGCTTTGAACTCGAGCGAATGAAATCATCACCTATGCCGCTCGCCTCAAGGAGGCCATCGATATCTGATGGAGGAAGATGAGGGGCATGTGCCGCGGCCCCGAACGGGAGTAACAACTTTGGCGCATTGGTAAAGACTTCGGAATAAGCGAACAGCTCTTGGAGTAGAGAGGGTGGTCCGCTGACGGTTGCCCATCCCTCGGAGACAACGCTCAGGTATGCGTGCTTGTGAGTAGGGATGCCCTGATTTTCCATGGTTAGCCCTACTTTCCCAAGCTTCCTGGCATCGGATGTTACCTTCTCGACATGGAACTTTTCGATGACCTTCTCTAGGGTATCTATTGGAACGTTCAGGATGGAATATCCCCAATGGCCAAAGCCAGCTTCGATTGCCTCGGAGCGGCGGCCAATATCGACCGCGAGTTGGAAGGCAAGTGAAATCACTTTGGTCCCAAGATCAAGCACATCGTCCAGCCCTCGAGAAGACGCACAGACTGCTGCGGGTAGAACACCAGTGCACAAGCCGACGATCACGGCTTTTGGGTTATTAAGGATTGATGAATCGGATTGACAATGTCTGTTACACGGTATTAGCAGGCACACTTGGTGGGTAGCAAAGGTAACTAAGAGAACTTACAGTATAAGTTCTCCCAGCTGGGCAACGGCCATAAGCACCGTAGCAACAAGGTCATCTGGATGGCCCAGTTTGCTGAAACGTTCTGCGAGGTCGAGCAGGTTGGTGAAGGAAAAGAAGCGACTCTGCTCGGAAAGTTAGCACTGCTTCCTTCCAAAGTCTCTGAGATCGAAAGATCATCTAGGGTTGCTCATCTAGACAAGCCATCCCTATCCTTAAGACATCCATATTTTTTTTGGGGGGGGGGCATTGGCTGACCTGTGCATCTAGGTTGAGGCCTTGCACCTCGCGCTTCACCACCTTTGTTGCATCTTCGAGGAACCTGTGGAGGAGAGCCGATCGGTTTGAACGCTCAATGAGAGACCGGATGCAAACCAGTGTTTCGACTGTTTGGTCGCCGAACAGTATCACTGGTGACTGCATATTGACTGAACATGTGGTGGTTTAACGCCTTGCTCTCGGTACGGGAGGGGGTATGATGAGGTTATAGCCTCTCCAACCGCGGGGCGAAGATAAGGGATGTTCTATCTTCACAGGATATGACATAGGGTGTTGCCGTCTATTGGACAGCCGTACGGAATCCGAGCCTGAAGAGTACTCGCCCTGGGTTGAGCTTCGAATGGCGTTCTTTCCGTCTCACCTGCCGCTAGCAGTCATCTCACGCATATATTGATACTTTTCTTACACACTACCGAATCTCCGCAACGCCTTCCGTCCTCTCTGTCGTCAGCTAGCTATCTCCAGTGCAGATAACTGGACGCGGTTCAATCCGTGGCAAAGATAGTGAGATGATAGCCGTTCGGTCTCGACTGTTCGTCGGGTCTTCACGGAAAAACTCCTCTCCACTCTCGGACAAAGGACTCGTTCTCTTGAAGAATTGGAATTGGTTTGATGATGTTGAGATATGCCCGCTTACAAATTTTACCGCCGCGAGCGTTTGCCTGATGGACTGTTAGATATGAGGATGGGAAGAGGTGGGTACGAGGAGCGAGTGATAGCGGTAGCTTTTACGGATGGTATGTAGGTATATGATTCTGAATCTTTGGCATCTATGAAAAAAGCTGCGCTCAGAACCCGAGAGGTTGTTTCGCTCCTTGCTCAGCCGTATTCCAAATAGCTGACTTTATTATGCAAGCCGACATGGAGTGTGATTTACCGCGAGATACCAAGCCAGAAATTTCGGAGTTAGTATTCCTACATGTTATGAGGGGTCAAGGATTTGCAAAAACGGCTACCGTCTCGAAAGGCGGCTCTTTTTTGTGGATCCATGCAGTTCTGAATAAGTAAAGCTATAGCACCCGCCAAGAGAGGCACGTACTGACTGCAGAAGATCCCCTGCCTGCTCGTCCGATAATCATCGACGCCCCCACCCCCATGGAGGGATAGATCTTTGGATTCCGTATGTCTCGCTCGCGAATCTGTGGGTCTCAGCCTCCGTGTTGATGCCGCGTTGGGAGGAGACACCTCAGTGTCAATTTACTCCTTCTCCTGCGCATGGATGGGTGGATGGATGGGTGGATGGGTGGGTATTGAGCCTCGCTCCCTGGTACCTTTTCCCAGTCCCCTCTCCAGATATGGTATGCCGATGCCTCGTTCAACTCGGTCAGGAAGAAACACAGCTGAAAGTCTGCAGGTAAGCTAACGTCACTAGCGCAAGATCAGCGCTGAGACAGCATCTCGATCCCTTGGCTTGACGCTTAATCCCTTGACCATTTGTCGGTAGAAGAGATAAGCATGCGTCGCCTGAACTGTTCCGGCTATCTGTTGAGAGGTTATGTTCCAGAAAAAGTTGCCCTTCGGCGGACTGTACGAAGAGCGAGAAACATGTATGTCAGAAAATGACTAATCGGAATGCACAGAAACTATCTTGTGGTCGTCGGAAACGTTGCAAAGAAGGCAGGAGCGATGATAGTCTGCTTGCGATAGATGGACCTGGCGTTGAAGTGATCAAAGGCAATTGTTTGGCCCGCAGTTGTTGATAGGAAACGAAACCCCGCTAGGAGAAGCCTCATTCCACCGAATGCAATCATGTCTATATGTGCCTGTTTAAGAGCCAGGATAGGAAGCTTACATTGCTTAAATACGACTGCATTCAGTTCAAAAGTCCAATGTGCCTCCCTACTTTCCCAATTCCCCATTCCCATACTTCCTCGAGGAAACCATCATTCAGAGTCACATCTGCTTCAAGCAGCTTCGAGCATGACCATCAAAGTGTTTCATCATGCACCCATCTGAGAACGGTTCATCGGTCAAGATGGAGGACGATGCGATAGCTGTGATCGGGCTCTCGTGCCGCTTTCCTGGCGACGCGACCACGCCACAGACTTTCTGGGATATGTTACGCGAAGGCCGGTGTAAGCGAATGTTTACTTTTGCCCCCGAAATTCTAGATGAAAACATCGTGAAAAAAAAATCGCTCACAAAATTATACAGCGAGCGCATCGAAGGTGCCAGCAACAAGATGGAATGCCGAAGGCTGGCATCACGACGTCAAGGGGAGGAGAAACACCGTGATCGCCCCGCAAGGTTACTTTCTGTCTTCAGATATCACAGCCTTCGATGCAGAGTTCTTTCACATTAACCAAGCAGAGGCGGTCGCCATGGACCCGCAGCAGCGCATCATGCTCGAAGTCACGTACGAGACCTTTGAAAATGCCGGTCTCAAGATTGAAGACATATCCGGAAGCCAGACAGCATGCTACGTGGGCGCCTTCACGAGTGACTGGAGAGAGATGCAATTCCGCGACCTTGACAGCGCACCGACTCGTAAGTGGAAAAAACAAAACAAACCAAAATCGCGAACCCGCGATTCAGCTAAATCAAGAGCCTAACTTGTGTATGCAGTGGCCGTCACTGGTTCTGGAATCGAACTGCTGGCCAACAGGACTTCCTGGTTTTACGACCTGCGAGGCCCCAGTGTGACCGTTTCAACTGCGTGCTCGGCTAGTATGGTGAGCATCCATCTGGCATGCCAAAGTCTCCGAACTGGCGAGGCTACCATGGCACTGGCCGGGGGAGCCAACCTGTTCCTCTCCCCAGAAGTCTTCGCGCTGCTCTCCAACCAGAACTTCTTGTCGCCCGACGGAATGTGCCACAGCTTCGATGCTAGCGGCAACGGCTATGCTCGCGGAGAAGGCGTTTCTTCCGTTTTGTTGAAGCGCGCGAAGGATGCCATTCGCGATGGCGACACGATCAGGGCAATCATCCGGGGGAGTGGATCAAACCAGGACGGAAAGACGCCCACGATGGTAAGTGAATCGACCAGATTACACTTGTGTCGAAAACAGGAATATTGCGAACGAACATTGGATGGCTGACCGATCGAGTTATAGACGATGCCCAATGGAGCTGCGCAAGCCGATTTGATCCGTGCCACTTACACATCCGCCGGCCTTGACCCTAGCCAGACGAACTACTGTGAGGCGCATGTGAGTCGTTATTCTCCGTATATTGATTATCTGCATGCATACGCCTAGATATGCAGCTGCGAACGTTCCCGCCGCCAGCCTACCTGTGCATTGTCCTGAACCTTGGCTAATTGATTGTGGCGCTCCAGGGAACCGGCACAGCAGCAGGGGACCCTGCCGAGCTTTTCGGTCTTGCATCAACATTGTGCGAGAATCGGGATCCCGCTAAGCCCCTATATGTCGGCTCAGTCAAAACGAATGTAAGTCGTGAAATGTCTCGCTCTTTTGTGATAGATGCAGTTGCCTTGGGCCGATCCTTGCCTGTTGAGGCATCATAAAGTGCCCAAGTGGGGTGTTGAATCTTCCCATTGTTGCAGAAGAGGCTGACGATCTGCAGATTGGACACCTGGAATCTGTCGCCGGCATCGCAGGCGTTGTCAAAGCCATCCTTGCCCTCGAAGCCGGGGTCATTCCCCCCAGTCTGAATTTCGACACACCTAATCCCAAGATTCTCTTCAAAGATTGGAACATCACGATTCCTACCACAGCCGTTCAATGGCCATATCCTGGCCCGCGCCGAGCCAGTGTCAACTCGGTAAGCCAAATAATGACCTCCTATCTACCTTGATGAACTTCTCTCATCGGTGATCTAGTTCGGATATGGGGGCGCCAACGCCCACGTGATCCTAGAAGATGCTTACCACTACCTTGCAGAGAGAAATCTGCTGCAGCAAGGGCATCATCGTACCCGGCTTCCAGCTTTTACCAATGGCTACCATACCAATGGTGGGAAGACGAACGGACTGATCGTGACCAATGGCAACACCAATGGGAGGACCAATGGAGTTGGCAAGAAGATCAATCGGCACGTGTTCGCCCTCAGCACTACTGACGAAGAAGGCATCAGCCGAATGAGTGCAGACTTAGCAGGCTATTTGGAGACGCACAAGGGGGCCGCTATCCTGCCAGATCTCGCCCACACCTTGAACCGCCGGTCTCGCTTCCCGTGGAAGTCGTTCTATACGGCTTCGTCGGCGACGGAACTCCAAGATGCTCTCGCAAAGAACAGTGGATCCTCTCATGTCTCCACCAAAGTACCAAAACTAGGGTTTGTCTTTACCGGGCAGGGAGCGCAATGGGCTCGAATGGGCGCTGAATTGAGCCAGTTCGACATCTGCCGCAAGAGTTTCGAGGAAGCGGATGCGTATCTTCGTGATACTCTGTCATGCCCTTGGTCTGTGATCGAAGAACTTGCGAAAGAAGAAGCGAGCAGCAACGTCAACCAGCCCTTTTACAGTCAGCCCCTCTGTACTGTGGTTCAGGTTGCTATCGTCGACCTGCTCGCTTTGTGGAACGTCAAACCTGTTGCTGTTGTAGGCCACTCTAGGTAAGCGCAACCATCTCCATCCCAGAATATATAGCTCTAGCTGACTGTTTGCGTGTAGTGGTGAGATTGCAGCAGCCTACTGTCTCGGTGCGCTCAGCAAGCAAGATGCTTGGAAGGCCGCTTACTTCCGTGGCTATCTTTGCTCGCAGCAACAACTCTCAGGAAAGAAGCACGGAACCATGATGGCGGTAGGTACCTCCAGAGAGAAAGCTCGAGAGTTCACGCAGAAAGCGACCACCGGTACATGCCTTGTAGCTTGCGTGAACTCCCCCACTAGCGTCACTGTATCCGGCGATAGCCAAGCTGTCGAGGAAGTGCGACAGCTTTTGCAGAAAGAGGGCATCTTCGCTCGCCCCCTCAAGGTCCAGGCGGCATACCACTCCCACCACATGGCTCCTTTGGCTGGACCCTACCTGGATGCACTCGGTGACATGGAAACGCTTCCTGGCCATCCCGGAAGGACCATGTACTCGAGTGTCACTGGCGAATACATCGAACCCGATGAGCTTGGCCCAACCAACTGGGTGCGAAACCTCATTTCGCCAGTCCTGTTCTCGGATGCCGTTGCGGAGATGACGAAAGCTGGCGATGCCGATCTCTTCGTCGAAATCGGACCGCATCCGGCATTGAAAGGTCCAGTACGTCAGCAAGCTGGCAATAAGACAGAGTACTTGGGAACGTTGATGCGGGGCGTCGACTCGGTAGAGTCACTTTTCGAATTCGCAGGGAACGCTTTCATCCACGGCGTGCCAATCAACTTGTCAAAAGTCAACAACGGAGAGGGTAAACTAATCAGCGATCTCCCGTCATACCCCTGGAACCACACCCGGAAGTTCTGGAGCGAGTCTCGCATCTCCAAGACCAACAGACTTCGCAAAGCGCCGCGCGGAAGTCTTCTTGGGGCTCCTTACGCTCCAATGACCCGCGATGGCCAGCTGTGGAGAGGCTTCGTCAGGATTTCCGAGGAGCCATGGATTCGCGATCACAACATCCAGGGCTCTATCTTGTACCCGGCAGCGGGATTTTTATCCATGGCAATCGAGGCTGCTCGACAAGCTGATTTTGATCAGGAGCACCAGAAGTCCGTGAGCGCCTACCTGCTGCGAGATGTACAGATCGATAGCGCTCTTGTCTTGACGGAGACCGCAGACGCTGAGTGCATTATTGAGCTGCGCCCTAGCGAGCCCGGAGGCGCATGGCAGAGGTTTTCTATCTCCACATCTCAGGATGGTGGAAATCTCCAAGAGCATTGTTCCGGTCTCCTCCTGCTCGAATACGAAGCACCCAAGGGCTCCAGTGCTGCATTCGAGAAGGCACTCGACGACGAGGGTCGAATTGTATCATACCATAGTGCCGAAGGCGTCACCAAACACACCATAGATCAGGAGAAGTTCTACGAGGACCTCGCATCCATCGGAATGACTTATGGTCCAGCTTTCCGAAATGTACACGCCGTTCGCGTTGGCGATTGGACAAGTTGTTGCACTTTGACCATTCCGAGCAGTCAAGTTATCAACTCGCCGCAGGTGTCAGCTTTTGAGAGACCCCATATTATCCACCCCACTGTTCTCGACGCGATGCTCCATGCTGCTTTTGCCGCATCCATGGGAGCCGGTGTCAACGAGGCGGCAGTACCCAGCTCTATTCGAGAACTGGTCATCACTGCCGATATGCCATTCGGTGGCGGCGCGGTCCTCCAAGGCTCGGCAACGACCAAACGCCACGGCTATAGTGCCTTCATGTCCGATGTTGATTTTCTGGATGCATCCTGCACAAAGCCTATTGCTAAGATTGTGGGACTTCGGTGTGTCAAGGTGGCATCGTTGCCATCAGGGCAAAGCGCATCGGCAAGTTCAAAATCGCTATGCAGTCAACTCAGCTGGACACCCGTGCTCTCTCTCGCACCCCAGTTGCTGCAGCACTTGCCCAGTGCTATTCGACCTCTCAGCAAGATGACCCCTGATCGTAAAGGGGTGGAGAACGAGAAAGCTCTCGAGGGATTGGTTTCCCACGGCGTGCGACGGGCGCTCCAGAATGTCAAATTCTCAGAGGTGACCTCCGACAAACTGCGCGAAGTTTACAGTTGGTTGGAGCAGAGGATGGACGTTGCCGCAACGCCGTCAACAAAGGAGCGAGCCGGCTTTTTGGACGGCGGCCTCGTACCAGAGACCGATATTGAGCAATATCTGTGCGCAATCGAGGACTTGGAGGGCCAGGTGAGTTTCAACCGCGCCGATTTGCAGCATTTCCTGCCGAGGCTGGAGAACATACTGCGTGGAGAGCCATACGTTCCGCATGAGGGTCCGGGGGAGCATCCTCCAGTCTTGATCGGCGCAGACGAAGCCATTTTTACGGCTATTGAGGTAAGAGATAGAGTATCCTGCCTGCTTATTCCGGAACATACTCTAACTGTAAGTAGACTTTGAAAGCGTTCGCATTATGGCGGCCCGGAAGCGACGTCTTATTGATAGATTCCGGATACGATGGCGTGACAGAACGAGCACTGAGCAATATACGTTCCGTCACTGGGTCAGCGCTGCTTGATACTGTGGCGATAACATTCGCCTCCAACCGGCCCAGTGCCTTGGCCAACGCCGAAGAGGCGTTTCCCAATGTCTCCTCGGTCCTCTTTGGACTCGACAAGGACTTGGCTTCGCAAACATTGAAAGAGTCTTCCTTCGACGCTGTCTTTATCAGCGGCGGTCTCACATACTCTCAGGAAGATCTCAGCACAGTTCTCGGAAAGCTGAAAAGCCTCTTGCGACCATCTGGCTGCCTTTACACCGTCGAGTTGACCAACCCCAGCATTTCCAGACTGCCGTCGCTCTTGGGATTTCAGAACCTCTGGACGAAGTCCAAAGGGCCTTCGCCATTCGATGTTTTCCCACGAGAAGCTTGGGAGTCCGCACTGACCGAGAATGGCTTTCGATTAGATTTTGCTTTCCCAGAGCAAGACAGCCACACGCCGGAGACAACACTCTTTGCGGCCTCGATTCCATCCGACATGGCTCCTTCTGGGATTGACAAAGTCATCATACTGCAACCAGTAGCACCTTCGGAGCGAGTCCAAGCACTGGCAAAGGGAATCACTGAGGCACTTGAGGGCCTCTCGGTCGTGGTCAAATCCGAGACGTGGGGCGATGCCAGCCCTGCTATAACTGGCGGCAATTTTGTATCGCTGCTAGAAGTTGATAACGACATGATCGTCAATCTATCTTCGAGTAGTTTCTCCAAGCTCCAGGAAATGATTCTCAATGCATCCAGTGTCTTGTGGGTGACGGGATCCATCCGACCAGAGCATGAACTCGTCACCGGACTGGCGCGCGCGATCAAGAATGAAGTCGCGAGTGTCGAATTCCGCGTGCTGCATACGGACGATACCAATTCTGATGGGGTGGTATCTTCAACTATCGCCAAGCTTGCAGTGGCTGGAACAGGGGAGGACGAGTATCTTCTCCGTGGCAACGCTCTTCACACCAACCGCATCATGGAGGATACGACCCTGAACAAGCAAGTAGGTGAAATGCTGGATCACAAGACCGCGGAAGAGATAGTTCTGGGCGAGTCTCGACTCCCCCTCCTCCTCTCTATCGCACAGCCAGGCCTACTCGATTCCTTGTGCTTCACGGAAGACAAGAGCGCCGTACTTCCACTTGGACTTGACGAAGTAGAGATTGACGTGAAGGCCACTGGGCTCAAGTAAGTCGAGTCTCTGATGCCATATTGCCTATTGCCCGATCCCTTTGAGCTGACTCGATCAAACAGTTTCCGTGATGTGATGGTGTGCCTGGGACAGATCCCCGATAATCTTCTTGGCTTTGAGGCGAGTGGACTCGTTCGCAGAGTCGGCTCGGGCGTCACCCGATTCAAGCCCGGAGATGCCGTGTGCGTGCTCGGTCATGGTGCTCACAGGACCTTGTTCCGCAGCAAGGATCTCTTCTGCCAACACATGCCTCTAAACATGTCGTTTGATGAAGCAGCGGGATTGCCCTTGGTGCACGCCACCGCATACCATGCACTTGTCAATGTTGCTCGACTCAACAAGGGTCAGTCGGTGTTGATCCACGCCGCCGCTGGTGGCGTTGGACAAGCTGCGGTTCAACGTACGTACTTGGGGCTTCCCATTTTTCCCATTTCAGATTGTCATACTTTACTCTCGAGGTTTTCTTGATAGGGCCGTTACTGACTTCACGGTCTTCAACAGTTGCTCAGCACCTCGGTCTCGAAGTCTATGGCACCGTTGGCTCTCCGGAGAAGAAGAAGCTTCTTCAAGACCTGTACGGTGTTGACGAAAGTCATTTGTTTCATTCTAGGGACACTTCGTTTGCCAAGGGTATCATGCGGGCGACCAACCAGCGCGGTGTCGATTGCGTTCTCAACTCCTTGTCGGGAGAGGCTCTCCGTGCTTCGTGGAACTGTATCGCACCTTTCGGAAGCTTCGTCGAGATTGGTATCAAGGATATCCTAGCGAACAGCGCATTGGAGATGCGTCCCTTTATCCAAGATGCCAGCTTCTCATTCCTCAATCTCGAGCACGTTCAGCGTCGGCGCCCAGAGTTGATGGGAGAGATTCTGGAGAAATCCTTCACCCTCCTTCGCGAGGGTCTGACGAGAGGGGTCCAGCCACAGAATGCGTATCCCGTCTCACGTGTCGAGGACGCCTTCCGTCTCATGGCTTCCGGCAAGCATCAAGGCAAGATCACCATTTCGTACAACTCTGATGCCAAGATTCCTGTGGAGCTGGATCCTGCAGCTGCCATCGACCTCTCCAGGGGCACTTACGTTCTGGTTGGTGGACTTGGTGGCTTGGGAAGGAGTCTGGCAAGGCTTCTGGTCGAATGCGGTGCCCGAAGCATATCCTTCATCTCGCGATCTGGCTCGTTGACCGAGCCGCCTGCCGTCGCGTCCCTTGTCGAAGAGCTAGAAGGAATCTCGGTCAGTGTGACGCATTACAAGTGCGACATTTCAAGCGAGGATGCCCTGCGATCGACTCTGGACAGGTGCGGAAGCGAGAACCCTCCCATCGCAGGTGTCATCCAGTGCGCCATGGTTCTCCGCGATTGCCTCTTCTCCACAATGAGTCACCGCCAGTGGATCGAATCTCTGGCGCCGAAGGTCGAAGGAACGCGCAATCTCGCCAAGACCATGCCTCCAAACCTGGACTTCTTCATCCTCCTGTCGAGTTTCTCCGGCATTTTCGGGAACATGGGCCAGAGTAACTACGCCGCCGGTTGCACGTTCCAAGACGCCACGGCTCATACGATGCACTCGCTCGGCCACAACGCCGTGTCGATCGACCTGGGCATCATGCGGGATGTCGGTGTCCTGGCCGAGCAGGGAGCCAAGGGTCACCATCTCCGAGACTGGGAGGAGCCGTTCGGCATCCGCGAAGACGAGTTCCACGCCCTCATCAAGACGGTCATCAGCGGCGTGTCCAAAGACCGCAAGACCTTCCCCACGCAAATTGTGACTGGGCTGGCGACAGGCGGAGCCGTCGCGAAAGCAGGCATCGCCGAGCCCTTCTACTTCAGTACGCCCAAGTTCCTGCCCATGAGCTTTGCGGGCAAGGGTGCTGCTGGAGCCGACCAGACGGTATCGGTTCTTGAGGAACTGGCTCGTGCCGAGACATTCGAGGCGAGAGTCGTCGTGATTGAAGGAGCGGTGGTCGGCAAGGTGGCGACCATCGTCAGTACGGCGGCCAGCAATATCGACATCTCGAAGCCCCTCTACGACTACGGCGTGGACTCTCTGGTTGCTCTCGAACTCTCGAACTGGTGTCTGAAAGAGATTGGAGTTTCTGTTTCCACGTTTGACCTGCTGAAGTCGGCACCCATCTCGGCTCTCTGCGAAGAGATTGCGAGGAGGATTCAGGGAGAGGCCAAGTAGTCGGTCAGGTTGCACGTAGTACCGTAATGCTTGCTTGCAGGTTTGTTTGCCATTCTGCTCTCTTCCCGTAGATCTATCTGGGTGGTGTCGTATTCTGCTGGGTTTTGTTGTTCGCGTTCTAGATACTAGGAGAATCTTTTGCTAGATTTAGAATGTCAATATTGATCAGATTAGAAATGGCTTTGGTGGGGTTGAGGGATGTCCATGTCACTGCCAACAGTGTGAGAGGTCGTCATCGTTTTTGAGTCTTGGCCCGATTATAAATCAAGGCACGTGCACCTCCCACTACTCTTCTCCCTACTTTTCTTGGGTGCCCTAATCGTCGGCTAGCTTAGGTGGGCCTCCTTGCATCCTTTCAGTTAAGCGACAATTAAGTGAGTTTGTTTTCTCATGCTTTCTCGATCTCTATGGCTGTTCTCCAATCCGAAGCTCGACTCTGGGCATAAACGAATTACCAAGGGGTTGAAGCCATCCAACGAGCCAGATATCCTCTTTGCAAAGCTCCTGGCATAAATGGCCTGATATATTACAGCCTTCGTTTACGCAGTCAGTCAGTCAGCCATGCCAGCCAGCCACCACCCACAGCCCCTTTCACCCTCTCACTCAGCAAGCCAGTTTTTCACTTAGCGGACTAATCTTCTCCTCGGTCTGGAAATCAGCGATTTTTCTGCGCTCGTCTGATGTTTTTGCATCGATCTTGTCTAACTGTCTCTTGACCACCAGTTACGGGGCTCCAGAAAGAAAGGCTTTGGCGAGTTCTAGAGCTTAAATTGACGGAGCCAAAGCTGGAGCTGGAGCTGGAGCTGGTCATGTCAGATCACGACTTCCTTGCAAATTTTCTATTCAATTACTTCACTTCATATTCGCTTATGTATTTACAAGTGTCCGCAACTCTCGAGCTTATCTGAGAGCAAGAAAAAATTTCTCTCTAAGGCCGCTCGTGTAACAGCATATCTGCAGCCACAGCAAGTGAGCAAGCAAGCAACTATCAGGCACGCCTCCCCTCGAAGTCTCGCAGCGGTAAGCAACGTCTCGCTGCAGATAATCGGTGATCACTCCCCCCATTGCCCACGCCTCAAGCATCGTATAGGACTTGAATCATGCGAGATCAAGCCCCCTCAACATTTACCTGTCATCAAGCCCTTGCATCTTCGTACTTGGTGAGAATGAATCTCACGCCAAAGAGGTGTTATGACCCGTCGTCGCAGTATCGTTGGTGGCTCCAGTACGGCCCGATTGCGTTCACGATAGCTTCACGTCGGCTTCACCGACGTCGAACGTACGTTATCAGCATACTGTGTTCCTCTCTGACTTCAGCTGGGACGTGTGATGTTCCCCCCTCGCTAAGCTCAACATGTTCCGTCGTCGCCGAAATGCAGAATGGGCTGAGCAGCAGCCATGTTGGGTACAGATAAGATAGATATATAAACCTCCCAGGAACCTTCTGTGTCCTGTTTTTGTCTGGCATTCAGATCATCCATACAGTCTTCTTTTTCAACAACTGCCTAGCTTGCTGCCACTTCTTCAAACTCGAATCAGTACTCTTAGATTTTATCTTTTTTTTTTCTACTTTACACACAGCGTCAACCCTCTTTTGGTTCTCCATCGGTCTGAGAATTCGTCTATCCAGCAATCATGAGTGACTATCCTCAAGACGAGTACTCCGAGGAGCAATCCTACGAGGATCAGAGCTACGAGCAAGATCCAGAGCTGGCAGCGACCGAAGAAATTATTGGAGAAGAAGGGCATGAGGAGGAGGCTGAGGAAGAAGCAGTTGAGGAAGAGCCCACTGAGGAAGAGTCTGTCGAGGAAGAAGCAGTTGAGGAGGAGCCCACTGAGGAAGAGTCTGTTGAGGAAGAAGCAGTTGAGGAGGAGCTGCAAGAAGAGGAATCTTCCGACGAGCAGCCCGTCGAGGAGGAGTTGCAAGAAGAGGAGGCTCCCGAGGAAGAGCCCGCCGCCGAAGAAGTCTACGACGGCGAGACCCTTGAGGCCCCTGCCGAGAACAGCGGCGACGAGGATCGCTCTCTCGACGCCGAGGGCTTTGAGATCACGCTCGAGAACCGTACCAACGTCGAGCAGGTCTTCTGCTACGTAGTATGTCTACCCCGCCACCCCCAGCACTCCGCAAAGCGGCCCTGCTGAGCCTTGAATCGTTGAATATTCTCAAAAATAGGTCGCTAACATCATCTCAAGACAGGACAAGCCCTTGATAACGGCAACAGAGTCTGCTTCGTTAAAGCTGATAGAAGGACTACCTACTTCCCTGAGAACATCACCGAAGTCGGTTCCGAAGTCCCAGAGGACTGTGCCATCAGACTTGGTGCCCCGGGCGAAACTATCGCCGTGACCATCCCCCACATCGCAGGAGGCCGGATCTGGTTCTCCCTCGACCAGAAACTAACCTTCTATCTCAACCCTGGCGGGAACGGGCCGGCCATTGCCGAGCCGTCCGTCACCAACAAGACCGACCCCAACATCGACATCCGATGGGGCTTCTGCGAGTTCACGTACAACCGAGATCAGATCTACGCCAACATCAGCTACGTCGATTTTGTCAGCTTGCCCATCTCCATGCGCCTCGAGACGACCAGCGGCGACGTACAGTCGGTCGAGGGACTCTACCAAGACGGCCTCGATTCCGTCGTGGCAGGGCTCCGCGCCATGGACAGCGACTACGCTGCCGACTGGCAATCGCTCATCTACCCCGGCGACGGCACGCCCCTGCGCGTTCTCAGCCCGAACAACGCGCACGTCTGGTCCGGCGGCAAGGCCTTCGCCGGCTACTACGAGCCGTACGTGCACGCGGTCTGGGCCCGCTACCGCAACGAGGCCCTCCTCGTCGACACGCAGGCCAGCTACGGCACCCTGGAAGGCCGCTGCGACGACGCCGACGATGGGGACACCCTCGTCTTTGGCCGCCACGGCCGCTTCGCCCGGCCCAGCACCGGCGACGTCTTCAGCTGCAGTACCGGCCCCTTCCGCGATAACCAGGGCGCCATGGGTCCGCTCACGGCGCGCATCAGCGCCGCCCTCAACCGCTCCACGCTGTTGCGCAATCCTGCGCAGCCGACGGCGGAGACGGTTGCGAGTTTCTACGCCCACGACGTCACGAACCACTATGCGCGGTTGGTGCACGCGGCGAATCCGGACGGGAGGGGCTACGCTTTTCCGTACGACGACGTGCCGGCGCCGGGGGATGTTGATCAGTCGGGCTTCGTGACGGGCCAGCCTCGGGCTTTCCACGTCTGCATCGGCTCGGTGGTTCGTCGATCTGACTCTGAAGCTGTGGCCGAGGAGGGAGGGCTGGAGTAGATGTGAGGTGGAAGTGGAGGTGGAGATGGAGATGGAGATGGAGATGGAGGTGGAGTGGGAGTGGGAGTGGGAGTGGAAGCATCAGACTCGACGCCGTGGACGTCTCTCTCACATCTTGTCATCACCATCACCATCACCATCACCATCCCCCCCTTTCCTTTGTTTTTTTCTCTCTCGTACTGCTTTCTCCAAGGCCCACGTAGTCCCCCACGTCCTTTTCGCAGCTGCGTCGTAGTAAACCGCCTTGAAATTAGTCACAGTGAATTTTTAAATCTTATTTTCAATCTCATTATCAATATAAATCCTAATAAACTACCTAATCATTATAAATACCAATCTCCTCTCTTTCCCTCCTCCCCTGCCTATCCTGCATATCTGTACATATACAGCACGTAGTACGTAGTACATACGCATATAAACCTTTGCTAATTAAATTATCTCACATCTCATCTTCCGTTGTACATGTGTGGTACCGGTATTATATCATTTTATGTAATCATCTATTTCTATTTCCACATCTTGACGCTCCTCCTTTTCTTCCCCCCTACCTACCTTCTCCCCCTTTCCCTTCTTATAATTACTTAATTCCCTTGTCTCATTCCCTCAATTCTCTTACTTAATTCTATTACTAATTCTCATATCTGATTCTCTTAATTTTCTTATTCACTGCTTGCTTATCGACTCACTCACTCACTACACTCATACGTAGTAAATAGATCAATTTAGAATTCACAATTCATACTACGTAATTCTAATTTCAAAATTCCACAACCCCGAAGAAAGCTTAAAGAAATTCAAAGTTCCATGATCCGAAACTCAAAATCCTAAATTCGCAATTTCAACTTCTAGTTTCTGAATCCTAAATTTATGATTTACGTAGTAAAATCCACAGAAGTCGAAAGAAATTCGGAATTCGCCATCTAATATCCAAAATTCTAAATTCTAAATTTAAGAATCAAAATTCAAATTCAAAATTCGCAATCCAAAATCCGAATTCAAAACCCAGAAACCCCTCAACCTCTAAATTCAAAATTCTAAAATTGTAAATCCTAAAATGAAGGAGAAAAAAAAAAGGCTTCTCACTTCTCGCTTCTTAAATCCCGCCACAGCCGAAATCATAGAAAAGTCCCTAAGCAGAGGTATTGCTTACTACGCATAAATACATACATAAATACATACATAAATACATACATAAATACATACATAAATACATACATAAATATATACATAAATACATATCAATTATACAAGCACAAAAAGCATACACAAGAAATATTCATCTCTCTCATCAAATCCCCTCCTCCCCTCCTTGTGTTAAAAACCCCCTTCCTAAATCCAAACCCCAAACCCTCTAAAAGAGTAAAACTCCAAACCCTTAAACCCCTAAATTTTCAAATTTTCAAATCTCGAAATCTCGGAACGCGAAATCTCGAGATCTGAGAAGAAAGAAGAAAAGAAAATCTAAGGCGATAGACAATACAGATACAGATACAGATACAGATAAACACAAACACAATAGAAGACAATAAAAGACAAGAACAACCAAAA